TATCTAAAGGGTGGGTTGAAGGAGGATGGAGCCAGACTCTTTTCAGTGGTTCCCAGTGACAGGACGAGGGGCAACGGGCACAAGCTGGACCATGGGAAGTTCCACTCCAATGTGAGGAAGAACTTCTTTGGGGTGAGGGTGGCAGAGCCCTGGCAGAGGCTGCCCAGGGAGGGTGTGGAGTCCCCTTCTCTGGAGATCTTCAAGCCCCGCCTGGATGCTCCTGAGTGATGTGCTCTGGGCAACCCTGCTTTGGCAGGGGAGTTGGACTGGATGGTCTCTAGAGGTCCCTTCCAACTCCAACAATTTCGTGATTCCACAAAGATGCCATTAGTCACTAGTGCCAGGACTAGCCGTGGTCCTTGACCCGAAGGGAGACTGGCAGTGCTCCCATTGCTGCACAGTCAGCCCAGCAGACCCAGGAACATCTCCCAGTGCTCCTGCCAATTTTGTAAGAGCACAGAGGAAGCACCAACCACCGCTTTGTGCCCAGAAGGAAGATGGGAGAAAACAACAATAATTTTTCACACCAACAGCCCTGCAAACAGCTTCATGGGTTTCATCTACCACAGGATACATTCATAAGGCCCACAGTGGGAATCCTACCTGGTTCATACCAGCATTGGCAAAGAGCAGCGTGGGGTCATCCAGGGGGATTGTGGAAGACGAGTGCACATAGGTATGCTTGTTTGCCTTGAAGAAGTCAATAAACCGTTGCCGAATCTGGCTAGCTGTTAGCGTAGCTTCCATCTTGAAGCTGCAAAGTCACAGCTGCCCAAAGCAAGCGGAAGGGAAAGTGGCAAGGCCTTGGTGCAGTCTGAAGAAACAACAAAAAACAAGCTTGTGACACACTGTCAGCTGAAGCAGTAACAGCAGGATCACTGCCTCCATCTCCCAAAAGGGTCTCCCCACGTCGATAACTGCTCTCACCGACTCCTCAATTTTACCACCAGTCTGCCCCAAATGGAGCAGACCCAAACCCAAACTATTCTCCCCAGGCTCCCCAATTCCTAGAGCTGAAGCTCAAGTTTCCTTTCTTGGAAAACATGCATTTTTAAAATACCACGTTCACTTGGATCCTGAACTTAGTAAGAGGTTGTATCTGCCTTGCCAGGGACACAGGGAAGGGGGAAGACTGCCGAAAATCACCCAGACTAATTAAATCATAGGATGGCTGCATTTGGAAATGACCTCTGAATATCACCTCATCCACCCCCCTGCTCAAAGCAGGCTCAGTTCCAGGGATATCTGGAAACCCTCCCTGCGAGGAATCACACCCCCATACAGGTGATGGTTTAGAGGTGAGCACCTCTGCTATAACCTAACGGGGACATAATTGCCCTTTGCCGATGGAGAGCGCAATGCGGTTCTCCAGAGGGCCAAGCTCCCAGCAGCCTGCCCTGGTACAGAGGGACCGTAATTCCTCGTAGGAATAAGGCCAGTGAGTCGTTGGAAGAGGGAAGGAGCACAGGAGGGCAAGGAGGGAGCTGAGGAGGGCAGGAGGGAGCTGAGGAGGGAGCTGAGGAGGGCAAAGAGGGAGCTGGGGAGGGAGCTGAGGAGGGCAAAGAGGGAGCTGGGGAGGGAGCCGGGGAGGGGGAGCTGAGGAGGACAAGGAGGGAGCTGAGGAGGACAAGGAGGGAGCTGAGGAGGACAAGGAGGGAGCTGAGGAGGACAAGGAGGGAGCCCAGGCGGGCAGGACTTGGCGCAGCGGCGGCTCCCGGGCAGAGCAGGGCCTCTGCCCAGTCTCCGACCCGGTCCACAAGGGCCCAAGGTGAGACGAGAGCGTAGCGGGTGCCCGGCAGCCCTGCAGAGAGCCGCCGCAGGGCCGGCGGACAGGTCAACCCCGCCGCGGCCCCGCCTGAGGAGACCCGGGCACCGTCACCCTCCTGCCCCCTCACCGCCGCCCGCCCCAGCCCCTGCTCTGTCAGGCCGCCTCCCCTCGGACGGGGAGGGCAGAGGAGAAGGCTGGTCCGCGGAGACCCCAACCGCCCCGAAACCCGGCATCCCCCGCCAAGCCCCGCAGCCCCTACCTCTGGGCCGCCGCCGCCCCTCACCTCACGCCGCCCGGCCCCGCCGCAGCGCCCGCCCCGCCCCACCGCAGCGCCGCATGCCGGCTTCCGATTGGTTGCCGGGGCCGTCGCTCTGGGTAAGCCCCGCCCCCTTCCTCTCGCCCCGGCCGGCTGATGCAATGAGGGGAAACGGCGGCCACGTGACGCGGACGGGCTGAAGCCGGGCAGGGAGCCGTCATTTTAGAAGTTACCAGCATGGCGGGGGTGGGGGGGAGGCTCGACCCGAGGCAGGGAACACCGAGGGGGACTGGGACCGTCAGGGCCTTTTAGCTCCTTCTCGCCGCCGGCGCCATGACGTTGCATTACTATGAGGCCTTGGCTCGCCCGGCCCAGCCCTATGGCTGGCAGGTGGGCCTGAGGCCTGGGTGGCTGGTGTGGCGAGAGCAAGGGGCTGCAAAAGGCTAAGGCCAAGAAGGGGATGTGGGGGAGAGGGGGCTGGCAGGGGACAGGGGGGCGAGGCGGCTGCTGAGGGGATGACCAGAGCCCCTGCAGGCTTCCCTGTTGGTGGATGTCATGGCTACAAGGCATTTGCATGGGTTTCCAGGGACAAGGGTATGGGGAAGAGGTAGGGGCAGTTCACAACATGGCGAACGTGCCCTGCTCATGCGTTTGGGGAGTTGACAGGGCGAGGGGGGTGTCTAAAGGTGAAAGGATTATCAAGAAGTTTGGGTTGAAGCATCACAGAAGGTGCTCGACCTTAAATAGGGAGTGAAACAAAACCAATATGTCTTATGTGTTCTTTTCAGGTTGCTGGCTTAGGCGTAAGATGGCAACAAATAAATCTTCTGGACCAAATTTGAGCCAAAAGTGTATCCCACAGTAACCTTAGGTAATTATAATGCTAAAATATACACCCCTTTGTGAATAATGAGCATGCTAATCAGATAACCTCCCTAAATGTCTCAGAGGTGAGCTTAGATGCATATGTATAGTTAGGAGTGGTGAGTGAATCATTATTGACCAATCGGCTATATTGTTATAAATATTGGGTGGTTTGAAAGGTGAGTTGCTGCCAGCTGTCATTAAGTGCCCGGCACCCGATTCTGTAGAATTTAAATAAAAACAAATCTCTTGGCTCAGCGTGTCGATTGGCTCTCACACACCCGGTGAAGAGTCCTCCTTTAGGGACAATGAAGACATGAAATCCAAGGCCAAGAGGGACTGCATGTACACAGGGGAGGTGCTGCACTGACAAAAAATTAACCATGAGGACAGTCAAGCACTGAAATGGGAGACCAGGGAGGGCTGGGGTCCCTGGACGTTTCTGGGGTCTAGTTCAAGCCCTGGGCAACCTGATCTGAAGTCGTCATTGACTCTGCTTCTCCTGATGGGGCTTGAACTAGAGCCCTCCCAGGTCTTCTCCAACCTGAAGAGGCTGGTTTAGGTTGCAAGAGACCTTAAAGCCCATCCAGTGCCACCCCCTGCCCTGGGCAGGGACACCTCCCACCACACCAGGTTGCTCCAAGCCCCCTCCAACCTGCCCTTGAACCCCTCCAGGGATGGGGCAGCCACAGCTTCTCTGGCCAACCTGGACCAGGCTCTCACCACCCTCCCACCAAACAAGTTCTTCCCCACATCTCAGCTCCATCTCCTCTCTTTCAGGGTCAAACCCTTCCCCCTCCTCCTAGGGCTCCCCTCCCTGACCCAGAGTCCCTCCCCAGCTTTCCTGGAGCCCCTTGAGGGACTGGAAGGGGCTCCAAGGTCCCCATGGAGCCTTCCAACAGGTCCATGTCTTTCTGATGTTGGTGGCCCCAGAGCTAGAGGTGGCCATTCCTGGTTCTTGGTCCTGCAGTCCTTTTCACTTTTGTCCCTTCTCTCCTTCCCAAGGAGCCTGGAAGGAAAAGAGGAAACTCCAGTCTTGTTGGTTCTTAATGGGAGCTCTGCTCCCATGGGATGCTGCTCACAGATAGCAGCAGGAGCAGGCAAGTCCGTACAGTGTAAGTGCTCGCGCAGGTACTTTCACCTTCCATGATGCCACCTACAGCAGGTCAGAGCCTCCAAATCCACACCCAGCACCCTCACCGTCCATGGCGGGGGGCATGCTCTGGAAACGTTACTCCATGCTTTGTGTCACCTGAAACACATCTTCCAGACTTGGGGTCCCTTCACCGTCTCCCAGCTGCTGGCCCAAGTATTTCTTTGGTGGTCGCCAAATCTGGAGCCACTGGGGGATTAGTCAGCTCTGTCCCCTCCACCATGCTGAGAGGACCCATCACCGCTACTTTTCTTATTTCCTCCCCCACCTTCAATTCAGGTTGCCCCAATTCTTCTGGTTCAGTGGAGGCTTATCACATGGTGGTTCTTTGTTTCTTTTAGCACCTCACTCACTTCTGCCTCCTAAAAATTCATGTCCCCAGGCTGGTCTGGGCTGAAGGAGCTTTGGCTTTGCAGGCTCCTCTTGGGCTGATGAGCATCCAGTGTTGTCCTCCAGCAAGGAGAAGGGTGGTGGCCATGAGCTTGCAACCCCAGCATGGGGTGGACAGGGCTGCAGGGACCTGGGAATCATCTTCTGTGATGGCTCCTGAGTAAAAACATGGGCATGGGTTGAGCTTGCAGTCCCTGCGCTTCCCAGACTGGGCTTTGGAGGAGCATCACTGGGTTCAACCATCCCAAACTCATCCCCTAAACTGAGAGATCGTTGCCCATAGCCAGATCTGGACCTGTTTTTCTTCTCCTGGTGGTGTTTCCAGGCTCCTGTTGGAGGTCACCCTTCTCGATCAGTTATGGGGACTCTGGGAGCTGGGGCTTTAGAGGAGACGAGTGGTGGGGAACTGGGTAATGTAGAAGACGCATTGTCCCATGTGCTGGTGCTGGCACCATCCCCGTCCCCGTGGGCGCCCGTAGCCACACCCTGGGCCGTGCCCGGCTCCTCTTCCAACGCCAAACAGGCGGCAACCCTGCCCTGTGTCACCGCCCGGCGCGGAGGCCGCCAAGATGGCTGTGCTGGCTCGGAGCGTCCTGGTGACGGGGTCCAACCGGGGCATTGGGCTGGAGCTTGTGAGGCAGCTGGCCGCCAGCCCCCGGCCACCCCACCACATCTTTGCCACTTGCCGCCACCCCGAGGGTCCGAGAGGGAAGGTCAGTGTGGGCACAGGGGACAGGGGTGGTCCTGGGCCAGGTGGGCCAAGGGAACTGGTGGTTCCAGCAGCTCTGCTGGATCTGGGTGGGATGACCCAGCTGGGTGGGATGAGGTTGGAGGGACAGACGTGGTCCTCAGTACTTGCTCCTGACCACCCTAATGGTTGGCCAACCACTTCTCCGTGCTGGGATCACCCAGGACATGGAGCCCAGCGGCACTCATTCTCCTGCCAGCCATGGGGGTACCACCATGCTCCTTCCACTGGGGACAGCCCTGCATGGTCTCCCCAGCAAAATCAAAGCCAGTCTGGCCCTTCTCCAGCTGGGGTGACCTGGGAAAGGGGGTGGGAGACCCGGCCACGCCGCTGGTGACATCTAACCTCCTCCCTTGCTCCATCACTTTGTTTCCAGGCCCTGCGAGACTTAGCTGCCCAGCACCCCAGCATCAAACTGGTCCAGCTAGGTATGGAGCAACCTCCCTCCTCCCACCCTACATGGCTTTTAGCCCTCTGCTGGCTTCTGAGAGGGGACAGGGGACAATTTTGACGGGCAGCCAGGGAGCTCCAGCCCTGCCAGGAGTGGATGGGAGGGATGGGCACGCATCTGGGCAGGATGGGCACACATCTGGGCAGGCTTCCCCCACCAAGCCGAGCTGGCCTCTGTCTGGAAGCAGTTCAAACCAGCTTTGGAGGCAGGTAGAGGTGGGTCTGGACACCTTGGCTGAGTGAGTTTCATGGGTTGTTACAGTTTGAGAAAATCCCTAACAATTTATTGTCATTTAGGCAATTATTCTCTCACCCCATGATCCCTCCCCACCCAGGAAGGGGAATCGGGGAAAAGAAGGAAAACTGAGGGTTGAAATATAAACAGATTTAATAGGATAAGGCTAAATAATTAATAACACTAAAGAACCAGATCCTGATACCAATATAAAAGGCATGAGGAGTGTCCCCATCCCGTTCCACCCCAGGGAGCCGTGCGCTCCCCGCAGGGACAGCCCATGTGGGACATCAGGATATTTGCAGGCAGGAGGCTTCTTCCAGGGAGCTGGGCAGGGGTGGGGGCTTGCTGGGGAGGAGAGCGTTGGAGAGAAGGAGATGAGGAGCACCAGGCTGAGGAACATGGTTTCGTGCAGATGTGTCCCAAGGAGGCAGACAGAGGTGTCTGAGAGAGCAGGGGCTGCTCACAGCCACTTTGTTTTTAAGAAGAGTTGGTTAAAATAACCCCATCCAAACCCAAAAGAAGCTTTTTAGGGAAGTGTTTGCACCAGAGTTTGCCATCCCTGTAATAAGTGAGGTGGGAAACAGCCAGGTCTTCTAAATACTTCTGAGTATTTCCATAGAACTAATAATAAAGAAACTGAATCAAGGCAATAATAAGGAAACTGAATCAAGGCAATGCAAACACCGGATCAGTCTCAAACTACCTATTAATTTGTCTAAAAACATCTGAAAAGTTCAAGTAAATTTTAGCTTTTCTTAGCAAAGAAAGGATTCCCGAAGGCAAACTTTCCTAAAAAGAGGCAGCAAATCTCCTTCTTATTATTAAATAGATTATCAAAGCAGAATATGTTCTTTGTAGTAAAAAATAGCATCTTTAAAACTGCCCGCGAGCCCCAACCACCAATACGTGATGGGAAGAGCATGTTTACTTTGCTCACCAAAGCATGGCCAACATAAAAGGGGCTGACCACTGAATAAACAACTTTTACTAAAGCACACACAACCCAAAAATCAGACTTATTTCTTCCAAGGAGACACGAGTTTGCTCCTTCAGCCAACATGGCTGTCCCCAGCATGAGAAGCATGCTGGTCCCACCCACCTCGTCCCTTGGAGCAGTGACTTGGGATGTCCAAACAGTGCAATTAATTATTCACCAAAGTGACTGACAGATCCCTCATGTGGTGGGGTAATGGAGCCTTGAACTCCGTTCGATCATTATCCAAAGAAAAGTCACTAAAGAGTGCCCTGTGATATGTCCTGCAGCCGGCCGTGCATGTCCCCTCAAATCCTAAGGCTCCATCCTCTCACTTAACAGCAGCCCCACAGCAGATTATTTTATCAAATTCCCCCCAAAATGTTTTCAAGCGACCTCTATGAAGGTCCGTGGGGCACAAGGCAAGGTGGTACAAGTCCTGGGCCACTCGCATTCTTGCTTCCCACCATAAAGCCACCAGGCGAGTTAAAAATGCCAGGAAACCGGATCGTTCTGCTGCTCATCAGTGCACAAAATACCCCAAGAAGGGAACATTCAGCCTGGCAAACCTTTGCTAAGTGGGTCTTGTCTAAGCATGAGAACGGAAACACAGCTCGGGGGCCAAAGTATTGCAAAAAAGAAATCTGGCTCTTCAATACCCCCCCCTCCATCCTCTCCCAGCAGGCTCATCAGATTAGCACTGGCCAAAAAATGTGTGCCAAAACGCACGCAGGGGGCAAAGGCACACCCCAACATGCCTGTTTGCCTGATTATTCATGGTTCTTAAAGGCTCGGGGGTGCTTTTGGGATAATAAAGGCAATATATAAAGTTAAATGTCAGCCTAACGTTCCAGATCCTGAAGGTGGTGAGGTGACCCCTTTTAAATCAACAGTGGCCACCTCAGCGGGGCGAGCACCCGGCCGGGGACACGTCCCAACGAGCAAACCCAAAAAAGCTGACCATAAACTTCAAAAAATACCACACCTGCTGCTTCAGCCAAAAAAAAAAAAAAAAAGCCTGCAGTTAAAGCACAGCAGATTTTCAAAGAGATACCAGTATTTAAGTGAAGAAAAAGGCCCTGGAAGTGCTTACCTCCGTCAGCACACTTCCAGGGAGGTTGGTTGTTTCTGGTTTCTTGAGCCCACAGATAAATACTGTGGGTTATATCCCAAATCTTTTATTACTTGTGCTCACCTCGGCTCATCCGTCAGTTCCAAATCCTCCTCGGTAACAATGTGAAGCAAAAAAAAAGAGAAAAAAAAAAAGAAAAAAGGAAGGATTTTTGCATACAAACGGCTGCAAAGCTATGGGAAGTTGGGCTGTGGAAGACCAATTTAAGCACAAATTTTAAAAAAGGCAAAGATCACTCTAAATGATCAGTCAGAACAGATATCAACCAAGATCTTCATGTAATTAAGAATAAAATGAAAGTGTACCCCCCCTAATTTCACAGCCCCTATGGCTGCGGTGCAATACTGAAGGACTCAAAGGGTGTAGTCAGGTTGTTTCCTCAAAGATGGTGTCTCCTTAAAATGTGCTTATCCGACTGTGTTGGCTCCTGCTAGAAATAAAACCGGGAGCCTCAGTGCATGAACACCGAGCATCCCTCGTGCAATCAGAAATTCTTGAATATGGAAAGCAAACACAGCCAAGTTCTCCTTAGCAGCAGCCTCCATAGGACCAAAAAGGAGCTGAATGGAGATTTAATTCAGGCTGGGGAACCACGAGGTGAGGACAAACTGCTGCTCATTTCAATGTTCTGAACACCTTCACCTGCTAAACCTGGTCCTTGCTTTCTGGATGATGCCTAAAGAGAACCACTCCAGCCACAGCATGTTTCCAGCAGAGGTTGCGTGACCTGCTGGAGCCCTTCTTCCCTTTGCTTTTTGCCCCGGCAGACACGGTGAACGTGCCCAGCATCCGAGGGGCTGTTCAGGCTGTGGAATCTCATCTGAAGGACCAGGGGTTGAACCTGCTCATCAACAACGCGGGTGTCAGCTCCCACGCCACGCTGCACTCCCTGGACTCGCAGGAGATGCTCTCCGTCTTTGCCACCAACGTGGTGGGGACACTCCAGGTTACCAAGGTACATGTGGAGCTTTTGGGTTTCTCCTGCCTGGAGAGATATTTCCCATGGTGTCACCTCAGGTGGGTGGGTTCTGGCTCTCTGGAATGAGACACAGTGATGGGGGCAAGAGCAAGACCGTGGGTCTCCTCTGCCCACCCAGAGGAGCAGGGAAGTCAAAAGGCAGCTCAGTTCAGCCCCAGCATCTCCCATCCTGGAGCTCCTGCCCGCCCAGGGCTGCCCGTGCTGGCTCCCTCCTTCCCTGGAGAAGGGAAAGGCTGGAGCCTGGACGGTCCTTGGGGTGTCCTCCCCATCCCCTGCCCTTCTTCCAGGAGTGTCTGTCTATCTGCTCGTCCACGCTCTGGGACAGAGACCTCCAGGGTGCTCTTCAGGCACTGGGTTTGTCACGGATTAACTGAACATGGGTGTCTTTGTGCCAGGAATTTCTGCCGCTGCTGGAGAAGGCAGCGAAGGGCGCAGGGAAGGAGGGGCTGAGCTGCAGCAGGGCCGCCGTCATCAACGTCTCCACCAAACTGGGCTCCATCGGGCTGTGCCTTGGGGTGCTGCAGGCCCCCATGTACCCGTACCGTGCCAGCAAGGTGAGGTGCCAGGGGAGGTGCTAGGGATGCTCTGCTGTGTAACGTGCCTGTGGGAGGCAGCCCACAGGGGCACCCACCTGCCCCAGGCCACCCACCCCCTGCCTAGTCCTCCCAAGCGCAAGCACTGAGATGGAGACAGCAGCACCCGGGGCTGAGCCCTTCAGGCGGGTGGTGACGATGCTCCACCCCAGGGAAAAGGCCCTTTTTCCACCTCCCCAGCCATTTTCTGGCTGGGAAAAGTTCCCCTTCCTGCCCACCTGTGTCCCGGGTGGTGCTAGCATGATGGGTGGTGCTAGAATGATGGTGCCTCTTCCAGGCTGCCCAGAACATGGTGACGAGGTGCCTGGCTGTGGAGCTGCAAGAGAAGGGGATCTTGTGCGCGGCCATCCATCCTGGCTGGGTGAAGACCGACATGGGGACAGAGGAGGTACTGGGCTGTGCAGGGAAGGGTCAGCAGGATCCCCGCTGTACCCTCCAGCTCTTGGTGGGGCAGGGGCACTTGGGGCTGGGGATGTTGTGTGATGCTCTTGCTGCCAGGACCATCTCCTGGGGTGGAGCAGGCAGGGAACAGGCAGCGAGCTGACGTGTGCCAAGAGCATGCCCAGCATGGAGAGCAAGGGGGTGGCAGTCAGGAAAAAATGCCCCATAAGCATGGTGGGTGCTGCTCCCCGGGCCATGGACTCTGGTCGGCTCATGCTTTCCATGCTGGTGGCAGCTCATGGCAATGACACTGCACCGTGTCCTCTTCTGCAGGCACCCCTGATGGTGGAGCACAGCGTGCGGGGCATCCTGACCGTGCTGGCCAGCCTCTCCCAGGACACCTCCGGCACCTTCCTCGACTGGGAAGGGAACAGCCTGCCCTGGTGACAGACAGACAGACAGACGATGGTGCTTCTTGCCTCCTACTCTCTGGCGCATCCCTCCGCTCGCCCTCCACCCACCCTGGGCTGCCAGGGAGAGGGGAAGGGCACGAGGAGCAGCTTCTCTCCCTTTCCCTACCCCACGCAGGGCCCTGCAGCCCCAAATGTACTCCCCAGATCTGTAAATGCCTGGACCTGATGCCTCTCTGCTCCATCTCCACACCCGCATCCTCATTCCCTGACCGAGCCTGGCACCTGCTGCCCAAACACCGTCTGTCCGTCTGTCCCCCTGCGACCCAGTGTCCCCCAACTGAGGGGAGAGGGTGACCAGTCCCTGTGACCCCCAGCCCCTCGTGCACCCTGTCCGAGTGGTGTCTGCGTGGCCCTGGGGGATCCACCACTGGGACACCCTGTGTCCCTGGGGCAGCCCCACTGCCAGGAGAGGGGCTGTGCCCCATCTGCGGTGCCTCCTGGAGGGGACGTCCCCAGAGGGTGGTCACGGTGCCACAGCACCCAGGGGGTGTCACTGGTGGGGAGCCCCATGGCAGCCGTGGGGCCGCAGAGCAGAGCTTGGGGCTCTTGGGCAGGGCTTTATCGAGGCTTTATATGATCACCAGGACGGAGCGGACGTGAAGCCCTGCCATGTCGCTTCTCCTCCCGCTGCTCCAGCTGGTGGTGTTTGCTCAGCTCCTAATGCTTCTTTATAGCATGTTCCACAGCCACCCCACCCACTCAGGGCTTGAACAAACCCTCGGCTCCAGGAACAACTTCTCCAGCTCTTCAAACTCTAGGACAGAGTTCCTGGCTGGGAGCCAGCCCTCGTTAGCAAAAGGCAAAAATCATTTGGGTTTTCAGGCAAACTCAGCTGACCTTGTGAAACCTGGCCCCGTAATCCAGGAGCTACCAGACAGCCTGTCCAGCAGAAGCTGTGGTGGGTGAGGAGGGAGGGAGCAGCACGTGGGAGGGATGTGGGATGTCAAGCTCTGGTGGGCTTGACAGCTTCACAAGATGGTCTTTCCATCCAATATAGCACTGGAAATGGGTTGTGCTCATCCTTCTCCCCTGGGTCCCATGAGCCAGGTGGTGCCTCAGGTGGTCAGAAGCAGACCTTCTCTGCCTTGCTCTTGCCTCCTCTAAGCCAATGCCCGTTCACTGATTGTCCCATGAAAGATTCATGGAGTGGAGCAAGCCCAGCCCTGCCAGCCCCGGGCCCAGGAAGGCATGGAGGAGAACATCACAGCAGCCCGGGGACATGTCAGCGTGGGGCCTTCTGAGCCCCATGCTGTCCCCATGGGGAGCACAGTCACCCACAGGGACGTCACATCCCCACACATCCCCAGCCCCAACGGCTGGTGGCCGCTGCGCCCAGGGCCGGGCCAGGAGCCCTTCCCCTCCCTCCCCACAGAGGTGCCAGCCATGCTGGGCCAGTGCTGGCCCCTCTCCAGAGGCCGCTGCTTTCCCACCCGAGCCCCCCGCCCTGCCCAGGGGGCTGGGGCCACCCCCAGAGCTGGCCTCCAGGCCTCGGGGGTCCCTCCCTGGCAGCCCCGTCCTGGCGAGGTGGGCTGAGGAGAGAGCAGGAGGGGACGGGACAGGCTGCCATGACAGGCAGGCCCCGGGCGAGCCTGGTACCCGCTGCCCAGGTGCTGCCCGAGCTCCGTGTGTCCGTCTGTCCCCCTGAGACCCCGTGTCCCCCAACTGAGGGGAGAGGGTGGCCAGTCCCTGTGACCCCCAGTTCCTCAGTCACCCTGTCCCTGTCACCCCCAGTCCCTCGGGCACCCTTGTCCCTGTCACCCCCAGCTCATGTGACCCCCAATCCCTCGGGCACCCTGTCCCTGTCACCCCCAGTCCCTCAGGCACCCTGTCCTTGTCACCCCCAGTCCCTCAGGCACCCTGTCCCTGTCACCCCCAGCCCCTGGGGCACCCTGTCCCTGTGACTCCCAGTCCCTGGGGCACCCTGTCCAAGTGGTGTCTGCGTGGCCCTGGGATCCCAGCGCCGGGACATCCCAAGTCCCTGGGGCAGCCCCACTGCCAGGAGAGGGGCTGTGCCCCATCTGTGGTGCCTCCTGGAGGGGACGTCCCCAGAGGGCGGCCATGGTGCCACAGCACCCAGGGGGTGTCACTGGTGGGGAGCCCCGTGGCAGCCGTGGGGCGAGCAGGTGGCTGCGGGCACAGCCACAGCCCAGGATAAGGAGTGGGGCCGCAGAGCAGAGCCGGGGGCTCTCGGGTCAGGCTTTATTGAGGCTGGGGGCCAGCGGGAGCACCAGCCCCAGGCCCCACTGCCAGGAGGCCAGGCTGGGGTCTCACCAGGGCACCACCTTCCCTTCCCAGTCCAGTAAGGTGCCAGCGTCCTTCTCGCCGAGGGAGGAGAGCACCTTCAGCATCCCTCGCACGCTGGCCTCCACCGTCACGGGGGGCTGCGGGGAGAGGGGGAGAGGCAGCCCCTGCCCCAGGCCGGGCTCAGGGCTGCCCTGGAGCAGCTGGGCCGGGGTGAGGAGCCCCCGGAGGATGAGGAGAAAGGCAGCAGCCCCGGGCAGAGGGGCTGAGCAGAGGGGATGGGGGCAGCCCGGGCAGGGATGGGGCAGGCAGGGAGGGGATGGTGGGGGGTGCGGGCAGCGACTCCCTCCCTCCCCGGGGAAATCAGCAGGGGGGCTGGGAGGGAAACTCTTACTGTGTGTCCAGCTGAGCTCCCCATGTCGGTTTGCACCCAGCCAGGGTGGAGAGCAACGCAGAGGATGCCGTGCTCCCGGTAGCCCAGGGACTGGCACTTGGTCAGCATGTTGAGAGCAGCCTGCGGGGAGAGAGGGAGGGATGGCGGCGGGAGGGGAAGGGTGGCTGCGAGGGGACACGGCCGGGACAGGGCAGGGGAAGCAAACCCGTCCCCAGCACGGCAGGGCTGTACCTTGCTGCAGCGGTAGGAGACAACTTGCATCAGATCAAACCCAAACAGAGAAGCGATGGAGCCCCCAATGCTGGACATGTTGATGATGGCTGCCTTGCTGCAGCTCAGCGCTGAGCCTGGGCTCCCCTGGGCAGCCTTCTTCAGCAAGGGCAGGAACGCCTGTGAGGAGGAAGAGGAGACAGGGCCACACATGGAGATGGTACAGGGAAGAGGACCAGCTCCTGTCACAGCGGGCAACATTGGCACCAGGACCAGAGCATCCTCCCGCCTCTTCCCGCTGCTGCAGCCCACCAGGCTCCATATGAAAGATTCATGGAGTGGAGCAAGCCCAGCCCTGCCAGCCCCGGGCCCAGGAAGGCATGGAGGAGAACATCACAGCAGCCCGGGGACATGTCAGCGTGGGGCCTTCTGAGCCCCATGCTGTCCCCATGGGGAGCACAGTCACCCACAGGGACGTCACATCCCCACACATCCCCAGCCCCAACGGCTGGTGGCCGCTGCGCCCAGGGCCGGGCCAGGAGCCCTTCCCCTCCCTCCCCACAGAGGTGCCAGCCATGCTGGGCCAGTGCTGGCCCCTCTCCAGAGGCCGCTGCTTTCCCACCCGAGCCCCCCGCCCTGCCCAGGGGGCTGGGGCCACCCCCAGAGCTGGCCTCCAGGCCTCGGGGGTCCCTCCCTGGCAGCCCCGTCCTGGCGAGGTGGGCTGAGGAGAGAGCAGGAGGGGACGGGACAGGCTGCCATGACAGGCAGGCCCCGGGCGAGCCTGGTACCCGCTGCCCAGGTGCTGCCCGAGCTCCGTGTGTCCGTCTGTCCCCCTGAGACCCCGTGTCCCCCAACTGAGGGGAGAGGGTGGCCAGTCCCTGTGACCCCCAGTTCCTCAGTCACCCTGTCCCTGTCACCCCCAGTCCCTCGGGCACCCTTGTCCCTGTCACCCCCAGCTCATGTGACCCCCAATCCCTCGGGCACCCTGTCCCTGTCACCCCCAGTCCCTCAGGCACCCTGTCCTTGTCACCCCCAGTCCCTCAGGCACCCTGTCCCTGTCACCCCCAGCCCCTGGGGCACCCTGTCCCTGTGACTCCCAGTCCCTGGGGCACCCTGTCCAAGTGGTGTCTGCGTGGCCCTGGGATCCCAGCGCCGGGACATCCCAAGTCCCTGGGGCAGCCCCACTGCCAGGAGAGGGGCTGTGCCCCATCTGTGGTGCCTCCTGGAGGGGACGTCCCCAGAGGGCGGCCATGGTGCCACAGCACCCAGGGGGTGTCACTGGTGGGGAGCCCCGTGGCAGCCGTGGGGCGAGCAGGTGGCTGCGGGCACAGCCACAGCCCAGGATAAGGAGTGGGGCCGCAGAGCAGAGCCGGGGGCTCTCGGGTCAGGCTTTATTGAGGCTGGGGGCCAGCGGGAGCACCAGCCCCAGGCCCCACTGCCAGGAGGCCAGGCTGGGGTCTCACCAGGGCACCACCTTCCCTTCCCAGTCCAGTAAGGTGCCAGCGTCCTTCTCGCCGAGGGAGGAGAGCACCTTCAGCATCCCTCGCACGCTGGCCTCCACCGTCACGGGGGGCTGCGGGGAGAGGGGGAGAGGCAGCCCCTGCCCCAGGCCGGGCTCAGGGCTGCCCTGGAGCAGCTGGGCCAGGGTGAGGAGCCCCCGGAGGATGAGGGGAAAGGTGGCAGACCCGGGCAGAGGGGCTGAGCAGAGGGGATGGGGGCAGCCGCCCGGGCAGGGATGGGGCAGGCAGGGAGGGGATGGTGGGGGGTGCGGGCAGCGACTCCCTCCCTCCCTGGGGAAATCAGCAGGGGGGCTGGGAGGGAAACTCTTACTGTGTGTCCAGCTGAGCTCCCCATGTCGGTTTGCACCCAGCCAGGGTGGAGAGCAACGCAGAGGATGCCGTGCTCCCGGTAGCCCAGGGACTGGCACTTGGTCAGCATGTTGAGAGCAGCCTGCGGGGAGAGAGGGAGGGATGGCGGCGGGAGGGGAAGGGTGGCTGCGAGGGGACATGGCCGGGACAGGGCAGGGGAAGCAAACCCGTCCCCAGCACGGCAGGGCTGTACCTTGCTGCAGCGGTAGGAGACAACTTGCATCAGATCAAACCCAAACAGAGAAGCGATGGAGCCCCCAATGCTGGACATGTTGATGATGGCTGCCTTGCTGCAGCTCAGCGCTGAGCCTGGGCTCCCCTGGGCAGCCTTCTTCAGCAAGGGCAGGAACGCCTGTGAGGAGGAAGAGGAGACAGGGCCACACATGGAGATGGTACAGGGAAGAGGACCAGCTCCTGTCACAGCGGGCAACATTGGCACCAGGACCAGAGCATCCTCCCGCCTCTTCCCGCTGCTGCAGCCCACCAGGCTCCATCTCCTGAGCTCCAGCCAGAGGCTCCATGACCTTCTTGTCAGGAAAGAGCCCGTCGGCAGTGGAGCAGAGGCCGGACCCTGTCACCTCCCTGGGGACAGCACTGCTCGGGTGAGGGTCTCACCTGGCCCACCAGCAGGGGCCCAACCGTGTTGGTGGTGTAAACCTGGGTCATGTTCTCCAGCGTCTCGTTTTCAAGTGTGTCGCATATCAGCATCGCAGCGTTGTTGATGAGGAGGTTCAGCCCTGAGCCTCCCAGCTGCTCCCCGACTCTGGCTGCAGCCGCCTTGATGCTGGCAGGGTCACTGACTTCTGCAGGGCAGACAGGGGGGAGGTCAGCGTCCCCATGGGGGCGAGGTGGGCTGAGGAGAGAGCAGGAGGGGACGGGACAGGCTGCCATGACAGGCAGGCCCCGGCCGAGCCTGGTACCCGCTGCCCAGGTGCTGCCCGAGCTCCGTGTGTCCGTCTGTCCCCCTGAGACCCCGTGTCCCCCAACTGAGGGGAGAGGGTGGCCAGTCCCTGTGACCCCCAGTTCCTCAGTCACCCTGTCCCTGTCACCCCCAGTCCCTCGGGCACCCTTGTCCCTGTCACCCCCAGCTCATGTGACCCCCAATCCCTCGGGCACCCTGTCCCTGTCACCCCCAGCCCCTGGGGCACCCTGTCCCTGTGACTCCCAGTCCCTGGGGCACCCTGTCCAAGTGGTGTCTGCGTGGCCCTGGGATCCCAGCGCCGGGACATCCCAAGTCCCTGGGGCAGCCCCACTGCCAGGAGAGGGGCTGTGCCCCATCTGTGGTGCCTCCTGGAGGGGACGTCCCCAGAGGGCGGCCATGGTGCCACAGCACCCAGGGGGTGTCACTGGTGGGGAGCCCCGTGGCAGCCGTGGGGCGAGCAGGTGGCTGCGGGCACAGCCACAGCCCAGGATAAGGAGTGGGGCCGCAGAGCAGAGCCGGGGGCTCTCGGGTCAGGCTTTATTGAGGCTGGGGGCCAGCGGGAGCACCAGCCCCAGGCCCCACTGCCAGGAGGCCAGGCTGGGGTCTCACCAGGGCACCACCTTCCCTTCCCAGTCCAGTAAGGTGCCAGCGTCCTTCTCGCCGAGGGAGGAGAGCACCTTCAGCATCCCTCGCACGCTGGCCTCCACCGTCACGGGGGGCTGCGGGGAGAGGGGGAGAGGCAGCCCCTGCCCCAGGCCGGGCTCAGGGCTGCCCTGGAGCAGCTGGGCCAGGGTGAGGAGCCCCCGGAGGATGAGGGGAAAGGTGGCAGACCCGGGCAGAGGGGCTGAGCAGAGGGGATGGGGGCAGCCGCCCGGGCAGGGATGGGGCAGGCAGGGAGGGGATGGTGGGGGGTGCGGGCAGCGACTCCCTCCCTCCCTGGGGAAATCAGCAGGGGGGCTGGGAGGGAAACTCTTACTGTGTGTCCAGCTGAGCTCCCCATGTCGGTTTGCACCCAGCCAGGGTGGAGAGCAACGCAGAGGATGCCGTGCTCCCGGTAGCCCAGGGACTGGCACTTGGTCAGCATGTTGAGAGCAGCCTGCGGGGAGAGAGGGAGGGATGGCGGCGGGAGGGGAAGGGTGGCTGCGAGGGGACATGGCCGGGACAGGGCAGGGGAAGCAAACCCGTCCCCAGCACGGCAGGGCTGTACCTTGCTGCAGCGGTAGGAGACAACTTGCATCAGATCAAACCCAAACAGAGAAGCGATGGAGCCCCCAATGCTGGACATGTTGATGATGGCTGCCTTGCTGCAGCTCAGCGCTGAGCCTGGGCTCCCCTGGGCAGCCTTCTTCAGCAAGGGCAGGAACGCCTGTGAGGAGGAAGAGGAGACAGGGCCACACATGGAGATGGTACAGGGAAGAGGACCAGCTCCTGTCACAGCGGGCAACATTGGCACCAGGACCAGAGCATCCTCCCGCCTCTTCCCGCTGCTGCAGCCCACCAGGCTCCATCTCCTGAGCTCCAGCCAGAGGCTCCATGACCTTCTTGTCAGGAAAGAGCCCGTCGGCAGTGGAGCAGAGGCCGGACCCTGTCACCTCCCTGGGGACAGCACTGCTCGGGTGAGGGTCTCACCTGGCCCACCAGCAGGGGCCCAACCGTGTTGGTGGTGTAAACCTGGGTCATGTTCTCCAGCGTCTCGTTTTCAAGTGTGTCGCATATCAGCATCGCAGCGTTGTTGATGAGGAGGTTCAGCCCTGAGCCTCCCAGCTGCTCCCCGACTCTGGCTGCAGCCGCCTTGATGCTGGCAGGGTCACTGACTTCTGCAGGGCAGACAGGGGGGAGGTCAGCGTCCCCATGGGGGATTGGGGTCCCCTGTGTCCCCCCAGGGACGGCAGCACCCGGTGTCCCCGCAGGCACTGGCCCGTGGGCACGGCTCCCTCCCGGCACGGGGCTCCCGGGGTGTGCACAGCGCCCGGGCACACGCCAGGGCAACCGGGGCGAGGGAGCCCACCTCGGGGCACCTACCGAGCGGGACGATGACCAGGTTGGGGTGCTTGGAAGCCAAATTCTGTAACTCCTGCAAGAGAGGGGGCGGGAGCACCAGCCCCAGGCCCCACTGCCAGGAGGCCAGGCTGGGGTCTCACCAGGGCACCACCTTCCCTTCCCAGTCCAGTAAGGTGCCAGCGTCCTTCTCGCCGAGGGAGGAGAGCACCTTCAGCATCCCTCGCACGCTGGCCTCCACCGTCACGGGGGGCTGCGGGGAGAGGGGGAGAGGCAGCCCCTGCCCCAGGCCGGGCTCAGGGCTGCCCTGGAGCAGCTGGGCCGGGGTGAGGAGCCCCCGGAGGATGAGGAGAAAGGCAGCAGCCCCGGGCAGAGGGGCTGAGCAGAGGGGATGGGGGCAGCCCGGGCAGGGATGGGGCAGGCAGGGAGGGGATGGTGGGGGGTGCGGGCAGCGACTCCCTCCCTCCCCGGGGAAATCAGCAGGGGGGCTGGGAGGGAAACTCTTACTGTGTGTCCAACTGAGCTCCCCATGTCGGTTTGCACCCAGCCAGGGTGGAGAGCAACGCAGAGGATGCCGTGCTCCCGGTAGCCCAGGGACTGGCACTTGGTCAGCATGTTGAGAGCAGCCTGCGGGGAGAGAGGGAGGGATGGCGGCGGGAGGGGAAGGGTGGCTGCGAGGGGACACGGCCGGGACAGGGCAGGGGAAGCAAACCCGTCCCCAGCACGGCAGGGCTGTACCTTGCTGCAGCGGTAGGAGACACCTTGCAACAGATGCCAACCAGCAGGAGAACTGAGGGAGCCCCCATTGCTGGACACGTTGATGATGGCTGCCTTGCTGCAGCTCAGCGCTGAGCCCGGGCTCCCCTGGGCAGCCTTCTTCAGCAAGGGCAGGAACGCCTGTGATGAGGAAGAGGAGACAGGGCCACACACGGAGATGGTACAGGGGAGAGGACCAGCTCCTGTCACAGCGGGCAACATTGGCACCAGGACCAGAGCATCCTCCCGCCTCTTCCCGCTGCTGCAGCCCACCAGGCTCCATCTCCTGAGCTCCAGCCAGAGGCTCCATGAGCTTCTTGTCAGGCAAGAGCCCGTCGGCAGTGGAGCAGAGGCCGGACCCTGTCACCTCCCTGGGGACAGCACTGCTCGGGTGAGGGTCTCACCTGGCCCACCAGCAGGGGCCCAACCGTGTTGGTGGTGTAAACCTGGGTCATGTTCTCCAGCGTCTCGTTTTCAAGTGTGTCGCATATCAGCATCGCAGCGTTGTTGATGAGGAGGTTCAGCCCTGAGCCTCCCAGCTGCTCCCCGACTCTGGCTGCAGCCGCCTTGATGCTGGCAGGGTCACTGACTTCTGCAGGGCAGACAGGGGGGAGGTCAGCGTCCCCATGGGGGATTGGGGTCCCCTGTGTCCCCCCAGGGACGGCAGCACCCGGTGTCCCCGCAGGCACTGGCCCGTGGGCACGGCTCCCTCCCGGCACGGGGCTCCCGGGGTGTGCACAGCGCCCGGGCACACGCCAGGGCAACCGGGGCGAGGGAGCCCACCTCGGGGCACCTACCGAGCGGGACGATGACCAGGTTGGGGTGCTTGGAAGCCAAATTCTGTAACTCCTGCAAGAGAGGGGCTGCCTGGGCACGGAGGGGCAGGAGGGGCTGCCCCTGCAGAGGCTCAGCCTTTCCCGGGCAAAGCCCCTCGGGCTCCGGCTCCATCCCTGCCCGGCCTCACGCCCAGCACCCTGCTCCCGCTGCCCTGGCACGGGGCTCCCTGCCTCCCCCACGGGCCACGGGCCACCGTCCCCTCCACACACGCCAGCCACCACTGCTCCCGGGGCTGTCCCAGCCTGGCTCCCTGTGCTGCGCGTGCCCGGCTGCAGCCCCAGCCCTTGGCAAACCCCCTCCCTGCTCCCTCCCGCCGCCCCGGCACCCGGCACCCCCGTCCCCAGCACCACCCACTGCCTCCCAGCCCGGCCTCACCTGCGCCCGCTGGCCCTTGGGGTCCCGGCAACCCGCAAAGACCCACGTGGGTAGCTTTGGCATCTCCAGGAAATGCTGGACCAGCCCCAGGCCGATGCCCCGGTTGGCCCCCGTCACTAGGACGGAGCGGACGTGAAGCCCTGCCATGTCGCTTCTCCGTTGAGCGCTGCACTGCTCTCACCCCTGACTCTGCAGGTGCCTTTTGCTCCTCGGTTATCTCGCATTTTCCCGCGAGGGCTTGCATCAGCTCGTGCCTCTGGGAAATTCTCTGCCCATGCCCCAGTCTCCTGGCCCTGGTCCATGCCCACGATCCACCTTTCCCGGCGGCCGAAGAGTGACGCAAGGGGAGCCGGGTGTCCTGCCCAGGCAGGGAATGCCTTGGGCTCAATGTCTGGAGACCTGCTCTTTCTGCCTTCCCTCCTCCACCAAATCTGAGCTGCTTGGTTTTCTGGGCCAGTGTTACCCTTGTAATGGTGCAGGGCACCATGATGTCCCCTCCCACTGCCACCCTCCTTCGTGGGAAACCAGGCTGTGTCCCTCCCCTCGCCCAAGGTCAGGCAGGCAGGGGTGAACTCACTCACCCCGAGCAGCACAGTTTCCTGCGCTTAACTTGTGCAACATCAAAGGCAGGGTCAGGGATGGAGCATCTGGGACAAGCGAGTGTCCCTCGGCCACCACAATGGCCTGAAAAGCCTAGAAACGCTCCAGGAGTGCTTGGAAACCCTCCAGCGCTGCCCAGAGGAACCCCTTCCTCAGGGTGTGCTCTAACAACAGCGATAGTATTTAAGTTGTAAGTTGGACGGAAGGATAAAATTCAGTTTTTCCTCCTGAGTGGTGCGGCTGGGAATCAGGACCATGTCCAGGCACACACCCAAGACACGATGGACATCCAGTCCCAGGGTGGTCCAGATACTGCCCGGCTCATTCCTGCAGCAGTGAGGCACCAGACCAACCCTTGTGGAGGTGATGGACTGAACTTCAAGGAAAACCTCTGACTGGTGGATACAGGAGTCTTGGGACAGGCCTGAAGACCCCCCAGGAGCTCCTACTGTGCTTTATGTCAATGGAGAAGCACCACCTGTGTTGGAGAACCACCACCATGGGCTGGTGAACGACCTGCAGGGAGCATCTGGGCATCCCATGGCCTCCCCAGGGGGTTCCTGCTGATGGGTTGTAATTGCAGAAGATACACAGAAGATAGTTACGAGATGTTTTGTAGGTAAATTTAAGATAATTAATAACAATAGATGAGGCAGGTGATCGTACAGGACCGGGTGGGTGTAAGCCTGGGGAGTCTCACCTGTTCCAGCTGGAGATGCTGCTATCAAGACCTTTCCAGTAACCAGCCATCCTGTTCAAGAGGCTTGATCCTCCGTGCCTGTGCTACCTAATGCAAAGACCCCAATAAATTAGCTTTTTTTTTTTTCTTAAAAAAAAAGCAACCAACAAGCCCTGCTCTCCACTCTTCTGTGCAGCACTAACCCGCCTTCTCCTGGTGTTCCACCACACTCACTCCAGCCCGCGGATACAGCCACCGCCTCCGGAGCCCCGGGATGGAAAAAGACGCCGACCGAATCCCAAGCCACAACCTGACGTGGCCCGATTCCAGCCCTCACCTGGGCGAGGGGAGGCGTTGGCCGTCCCATCGGCATGTGCCTCAAGGTTTCCCAGTTCGTTTGGCCAGGTTTGAGCAGGAAATTCAATGCCTCAAGAGGAGGAGTTTAATTTTAAGAGGAGGAGAAGAATTTAATGCCTCAAGCGTGCGCGAGCCCGTTATGGGAGGGATGATGCTTCTCCCTGGGGAGAACCTGGGATTGGTTGGAGCTGTTGGGAGCCCAAAACCAGAAGAAACAACGCCAAGCCATTCAGTGATGGTTTGTCACCCCGTGTGACCCCACCGAACGGGAAGCGGTGACAGAGAATTGGCCAAATGACACGGAAAGCGGGTGTCTTCCTGGGAGAAAGCTGGAGGAGAGTGGGGAGGACCGGGGATGGGAAAGGGGGTGAAAACGGGGATGGGGATGGAGATAGGGATGGAGTTTGGGATGGGGATGCAGATCGGGATGGAGTTAGGGATGGGGATGGAGATGGGGGTGGAGTTTGGGATGGGGATGGAGATCGGGATGGAGTTAGGGATGGGGATGGAGATGGGGGTGGAGTTTGGGATGGGGGTGGAGATGGGGACGGAGTTAGGGATGGGGATGGAGATGGGGGTGGAGTTTGGGATGGGGGTGGAGATGGGGACGGAGTTAGGGATGGGGATGGAGATGGGGGTGGAGTTAGGGCTGGGGACGGGGACGCGGTTGGAGCCGGGGATGGAGTTCGGTATGGGGCCGGGCCTCCTCCACCCGCTCCGCCCCGGATCCTGGGCAGCCCGGCCCCGTTTCCTCTTCCTGGGTCGCGACGCCGTCGTGCCTGGCTGCCCGGCCCATGGCGGCGGCGGCGGCTTCTCCTCCCGGCGGGGTGGGCGTCGGGGAGGAGCCCGGGCGGCGGCAGGCGCTAGGACCCAGGTGAGGCGGGGGGGCCGAGGCGGATGGGGGCGGCAGCCCTGCCTGTCCCCAAACCCCTGCTTTGTCCCCAAACCCCTGCTTTGTCCCCAAACCCCTGCTTTGTCCCCAAACCCCTGCTTTGTCCCCGGGCAGCCTTCTTCAGCAAGGGCAGGAACGCCTGTGAGGAGGAAGAGGAGACAGGGCCACACATGGAGATGGTACAGGGAAGAGGACCAGCTCCTGTCACAGCGGGCAACATTGGCACCAGGACCAGAGCATCCTCCCGCCTCTTCCCGCTGCTGCAGCCCACCAGGCTCCATCTCCTGAGCTCCAGCCAGAGGCTCCATGACCTTCTTGTCAGGAAAGAGCCCGTCGGCACCAGAACAGAGGCCGGACCCTGTCACCTCCCTGGGGACAGCACTGCTCGGGTGAGGGTCTCACCTGGCCCACCAGCAGGGGCCCAACCGTGTTGGTGGTGTAAACCTGGGTCATGTTCTCCAGCGTCTCGTTTTCAAGTGTGTCGCATATCAGCATCGCAGCGTTGTTGATGAGGAGGTTCAGCCCTGAGCCTCCCAGCTGCTCCCCGACTCTGGCTGCAGCCGCCTTGATGCTGGCAGGGTCACTGACTTCTGCAGGGCAGACAGGGGGGAGGTCAGCGTCCCCATGGGGGATTGGGGTCCCCTGTGTCCCCCCAGGGACGGCAGCACCCGGTGTCCCCGCAGGCACTGGCCCGTGGGCACGGCTCCCTCCCGGCACGGGGCTCCCGGGGTGTGCACAGCGCCCGGGCACACGCCAGGGCAACCGGGGCGAGGGAGCCCACCTCGGGGCACCTACCGAGCGGGACGATGACCAGGTTGGGGTGCTTGGAAGCCAAATTCTGTAACTCCTGCAAGAGAGGGGCTGCCTGGGCACGGAGGGGCAGGAGGGGCTGCCCCTGCAGAGGCTCAGCCTTTCCCGGGCAAAGCCCCTCGGGCTCCGGCTCCATCCCTGCCCGGCCTCACGCCCAGCACCCTGCTCCCGCTGCCCTGGCACGGGGCTCCCTGCCTCCCCCACGGGCCACGGGCCACCGTCCCCTCCACACACGCCAGCCACCGCTGATCCCGGGGCTGTCCCAGCCTGGCTCCCTGTGCCGCGCGTGCCCGGCTGCAGCCCCAGCCCTTGGCAAACCCCCTCCCTGCTCCCTCCCGCCGCCCCGGCACCCGGCACCCCCGTCCCCAGCACCACCCACTGCCTCCCAGCCCGGCCTCACCTGCGCCCGCTGGCCCTTGGGGTCCCGGCAACCCGCAAAGACCCACGTGGGT